ACGCCCCCTTTTATAAACTCATTCATATACACCTTTCTATAAGCACCTACCGTAGCTGTGCCTGCATACCAAATTTCAAGTTCATGTGAGTTATGGTTCCGAAGTTAGAGCTGATAAAAAATTTCACGCCTATGGGAGGTGCCACGCCCCCTTGTAGAATCCCAATTTTTTTCTCCCTATAATTACGGTGACCATCCGTTCTGTGTTTTGCAGGACCGTACGGTTTTTCAAAGGTCGGTCCTGCGTAGTTTTTCAAACCTGAAAAACCTGAAAATGTACTGATTTTTTCCAAGTGTCCTGCATTTGTCCCGCATTTTATTCGTTATTTTAAAATTATCGGACAATGGATGGATTTTTTCAAAAAAGTTTTTTGTGGTACTTTTCGTAGCTTTTCTTCAATATCTCATGAAAAAATCTCCAAATCAACGTAAGCGACTTACAGCTCGAAGGGTATTGATGTACCTCTTACCAAAATATATAACTTGTGGCGACTTCAATGAAAATTATTAGTGCTACAGGCGACCATTTTCATTTTATCGTCAAAGTCGAAAAAAGTGAGTTCAATCAAATACGCAGTTTCATTTGATTATTCTTTTTCATTATTTTAAAAACTCGATAAAGAAGATATATTATTACAGTAAATGTTGAGCCAAAGATAATGAAAATCGGATTAGAAATGTAGATGCTATGGAGCGCAATCTGCACAAATTATATATTCATGACGTCAATTTTTGACAAATAACTGCGAAAAGTACCAAAAAAAAAAGTAAGGGTATTGTTTTCGTTTTGAATGACTCAAAATTTGCCTATAAAATAATCTTTTAAAGATTTTCACTTTTCGTATAAGCTAATGTAATTATAATGTTTTACTATACTTTTGTAAATATTCATGTAAAAAAAGATTAATATCGATGAAGAAAACGTGATTCATTTTTAAAGTTTAAAATGTATTAAGAATTTAGAATCAAAAATACTCTTTTGATATTTTTATACTACGTTAATATATGTAGGCATATTTTTGAAAAATTGTCCTTCATTTTGAATCCATATTTATGGTCACCGTACCTATAATAGGCATAGGTATCATATCAATACTCTGTCAATATTTCGTTCGATTCTGTCCGTCCGTTTAGGCTGCAACCTGGCACATACATATATACATACTTCCACAAATAAATATATAGTACATATATCTATCCTTCTCTTAACGAAAAATAATTTCTGGGGATATCTCGGCCACAGGGCCACCTATGGTGTAAGTTTTAAGCCCAAATATTTATTTTCAATTGGCTAAATTGTATTCTAAATATGAGCCAAATCGGCAAGTAATGCAATTTTTAGGAATATCCTGACCCCAGCGCCAACAACAGCAACAACAACAAAAAATTTCAAATTTTTTTAAATCGAAAAACCTTCCACACAGAAGGAGCAAAGCAGCACTTTTTACTTTGAAATTGGTCAGGCATCGCGGTCATACAAAAACATTTCATTTTTATATACAGGGTGTCCAGGAAGTAATGGATAACCCTTTAACCGCCAGTACGCGACATTATGGTATACCAAAGAAAAAGATAAAAACTTATAAAAAGTGTCATGGTTTTCGAGATTTTTTGACTTTTTTATATTTTTGAAAAATCTGTACTTTCGGTCGATTTTTTACATGCCGTTTCTACAAATAAAAACTTTTTGAAGTTTCGTCTTTTTTAACTTGAAGATGAAACCAAAGACGATATCTACGAGCCAAATTGATAAGTATTATGTCAATTTATTTCTTTAGCTTTCGGTGCTAATATTGCACACTCATCAGAATTATACTAAAACAGGTAAAAAATTAGTCACATAATCATAGCACTAATATTTATCAGCCATAGAGTACTTACAAAAATCTGTGCTAATATATATATGTGTGTTTAACGCAAATTAAGCTGCGGCACCATGGATTGTCCATCGTATTATTATTTTTTACCTGTTTTAGTATAATTCTGATGAGGGTGCAATATTAGCACCGAAAGCTAAAGAAATAAATTGACATAATACTTATCAATTTGGCTCGTAGATATCGTCTTTGGTTTCATCTTCAAGTTGAAAATAATCCGAGCGTTAAACAATTCTTTTAATCGTCTTTTTTATTTTTATCTAAACTTATTCCGCTATCGATAGAGTATAACACTTTTTTAATTATTGTGTTTAAAATATTTAAAAATTAACTCCAATACAAAATTTTGATCCCGAATAATTTTTACCTCTACATTTGACGATACGCGGTGAAAAAATTTTGTACTACACAAGTTGTGAAAATAATCCTTAAAACTTTCGTGTTTAATGGGGATTCCAAAATGATATACAAGTTATAACCTCTAAGTCTTTATGCTGTTGTTATTACGATTTGAATCTAAAAGGATGCTGGGTTAAAAGTCTCCGGGAAAATTTCAAATAATAAAGGTTTACCTTTTTTTTAATTGTATGGGACAAATAACAACAACGTAATGTGTTTCGGTATTAGTTTATTATTTATTATAAAAGATGTTCAAAATGGCTGCCTTCTACCATATCCTTCATCTCTTAATAAATGATCTTTTAATTCCGTGTGCATAATTCTCTTTTTTTTTTGTTCGGCGGTTGAATTGATGTGCTCCCGCAGTTGTTCGATGGTGGTAATTTAAGTTCTAAACACCAAATCTTTGAAGCAGCCCCAATAAAAAAGTCTAAAGGATTTAAATCCGGGGATCTAGGTGGCCATGAAATGGGACCCAAGCGTCCAATCCATCGTTGCGGATATCGTCATAATCGGTTGGATCCCTGATTAAAACCGAACGTTCGGTTCGGCTTCGGCCGAAAAATTTACCTTCGGTCGGACTCTACTTTAGATAGAATCTGTCGTAAGCTAAAGCAGAAAAATATCATATTTTCCTTAAATTTGTAATTTTTTAAAACTTCACGGCAATTTCGGCATGTGAAGGCATGCTCCGATCCGGCTCAAACTTTCAAAATTGTATTTTTTCAATAAATAACACATTTCTAGAGGTGTGCACCTGTAAAAATTGAAAGTTGATTTTTTACAACCACTCTAATGTATACATATACATATATGTAAGTATGTATGTCAGGGCATAGTTTCTTTGCTTGTGAACCAATTTTGATGATTGTATTTCGCTGGGTTAGGACAGCCAATACATATAAACTACAAAAAAAAAAACGATTTAGAAATAATTTTTTTTTGTTAAATCAAAATCTATGACAATCCATGATAATGGATTTATATTTTTTTAATTGGCGCTTACACAATATGTTAGTGTTTGACCGAGCTTCTCCTCCGATTTGTGGCGCGCGCCTAGGTGTTGTCACACAAAGGGGAGGCACCTACAAGTTTACGCCGACTCCGAACGGTGATGTGTTTTTATGAGCAGCTGTTTTTCATGACATAAAATCACTCGGAGGTTGCCATTGCCTGCCGCGCTATTAGGAAAAACTTTTTTCCTATTTTTATTTTTCTTTTTTAGTCCAGACTATTTAAAATTTTGCAATCATATTCAAATAATTCAACGATATTCTGAATTTGTGTTGTATGAAACTGACATTTTATTTATTTTCTCTTTCAACACACACACATACATATGAACCGTAATTAATTTAATTTAAAGCAATGCCTACGTACATACATATCTATGAACCGTAAATTACAAGTCTGTTGCAGTAGCAGTTTGCCTAGGAAATGTGGGTTCCCGGATTCAATCTCTAATGAATTTGAATTTGAAGCAAGAAACCGCCTCTTCCGACCAGTGTGCGTTCTGTCGCCTAGAGCTTTTAATTGGCCTAACAGCATATAGATTTTAAAAAATGTAGTGAAAGTTTCAAACAACCCTAAAGCTTATATCTGTGGACGCTTAAATAAAACTTGGCTGGCTTAAAAAGAAATAAAGAGCCTACTAACAAACAGTGTTGCCGTTTTGATCCATATACTTCAAAAGTGATACGTGTTTGGGCATATTTTCGGCAGATACTTTATTTTTTCGCTCATTTCGCGAGATACGTGAATTTTTCGCGTAGTAAAAATTTTGATGCATGTTAAAGAGAAAATATTAATGTATGTATGCAGTGGCAGCTTATAAAATTTGATCGAAGAAGATATTGAAGCGTTTTGGGGTCAGTAAGCTTAAAAAATGCTTTAAATGAACCATGTATAAAGAGCTGACTTCATTAATTCTTAATTTACTTTACTTGCCTCATAAATAGCTCTGCAGCTGCAGAGCGTATATTTTCAGATATAAAATTGATCCAATATGAAAAGAGAAATGGAATTTCATTACAAACTGTTGAGAATATGATGGGGCGTATTCATAGTAAAATAAAGTCGACACTGAAGGCAGTCGCAGCTTTTTGACATAATTTCCAACGAGTTTAACGTAGAATGTATCACATAATTTGATAATTAACGTAAATGATCGACAGCTCATAGTTGAAAGTATGTACATATATTTGAATTCAAGTTTCTATAAAATCTATACATAATACTTTATTTCGTCTCTATAAAACATTAAAAATAATAATCTCTTTTTTGATAGATTGTCACAGTATGTAAAATATTTTGCTTCATGTAAATACATATGTAGGTGTATGAATGCGAATTACATGACTTTTCGATTATTGACAATAATAAAAGGCAAAGGTATGGAACCAAATAGCATTTTTTTAAGTTTTATCTAACTTGATACTTTGATACTTAAATAAATATTTTGTGATACATTTGATCCATTTTTTTTTTTTTTCTTTTACGATACATTTTTTCATGACGTCCCGGCAACACTGCTAACAAAGACTAACATCTTAAATTACAGCTATTATCACTTAGTACGATTTAGTGTTTTGAATAGTTCTTTCAAATTTCCACAAATATACATATAAATAGGTATACATGATTCAAATATTCGTTATACAACAACATTCATAATTTTTCTTTTTTAATTACTCAAAGCTTTCCTGTTCACAATACTATATTCCAGATCAGAATCTCCAACATCTTCACATCGATCTAGTCCGCCCATTAGCCCTGGTTGTGAGGATCAACATCATATTGGTATTTCAATGGATTTTCATGATGAATTCAAAAAGCCTATTCCACCGCACAGTCCCATAAGACCGCAAGACTTTCCACTTTACACCGGCGGTCATCCATACCATTTGCTAGCACAAGGGGGATCAGCATTTCATCGGCCATTGGATCCAACCGGAAAGCCAATACCTGTAAGCATGAACATTGAATTAAAAATTTAAAGCTTTTAAAAGTAAACTTTGGGTCACAGAGAACGAATTAAGATATTTTTAGGCAGTATAGTAACCAAAAAAGGAATGAGAGTGTGCTTATAATGCTTTTTAAATTTTGTCAGAAAAAGAGCTATTTGTGTTTGCATATTATTTCGCATTCATCCAAACATTTTTAAATTTATTTATCGGTTTTGATATAGAAATACCTATTTCTCGATGAATTTATTTAATGACTTTAATTATTATCATTTGTTTTCATTATTGGTCCAACGAAAAAATACAATCGTTAAATTGTTACATTGTTGGGCAGTTATTTGTATTAACGAGGCATGTTTCCAAAGTTCAGGGAATTTAGCTATAATTTTTATTATCTTGTTAATTTTCGTCAATATTACAGTATAATTTGTCAGCATAATCTCTATTTAACTCACCTTTAACCTTTATCCCAACGAAAAACTAATTAAGCTGTCCTCAAAGAACTTTTTCAATCCACCTATTTATGACACGTTTTGCGTTAGTTAAACTTTCAAATCGAACACCCCGTAAGAGTTTTTCAAATCTGGGAACAAATGATAATCAATGGGTGCAAGATCCGGGCATAAAGTGGGCGCGGAAGCAATTCCTATCGTAAATCGTTCAAAACATCCTTCGTTTTTTTTGCGTGTCTTGCATTATCCTGTTGCAATAACGGTTGCAAAAGCCCAGGCCGTTTTTCGACAAGTGCATGTTGCAGTGCTCCGCTGAATAATTTCTGATGTTTTCACACCTTCTTTCCACAAAAGGAAAACTATTGCTCTTTGAGAACTAGCTGCGTCTTCCATGGATACAAAAACAGTGCTATGAAAACGCATCTATATCAGTCGAACACCTAACTCAGACTGATCAATATTGCACCAGATATGCATATGTCATAAATATGTCAAAACTTGTCTGGCACCAATAACATTGCCTATAAGTTCTGCGTAATTTAATTATAGCACAATTCCCAGAACTTTAGGAACAACCTTCGTACATACGTCTTACTGACTTACTGATACGGGAAGGCGTTAGCCCATATGGGCCAGGGATGATAAATGAGTTTTGTAATTTTGTAGGAAATGGCTAAAGAAATTCACGAAATTAAGAATTTTTAAATGAGATAAAATTCTCTATATAAAAATTGTTTTTTGAAATTTTAACCACATAGTTAAACAAAACATTATATAAAACGTATCGTGTCGAAGGTACTATTCATACGTACTTATGTATGTACATATGAATAGTTTACAAACACCTACAAACCAAATTAGTATACCAAATTAATCATCAATATAACCAAATAATGTAACTATAACCAAATCAAGTGTAGAGATAAATATATTTAGCTGATTTTTTTCTGGGTGCAATCTTTTTCGGCTGCAATTCACAGATACTTTTTCATGGTTCAAAAAAATAAAATTAGGAAGCGCCGGACGGAATTCGAACCCGGCACCTTCTGGAAGCTAACAAATAGCGGCACACTCCTCTGCACGCTCAGCCACTGTCGACTACGCATGCATGCTTTCAATTATTTAGCTTGAGCAAATAAAATACAAATATTGCATTCAAATGGCAACTTTTTCGAACGTTTTCGGAGACGAAAATGAATGATAGCTGTAGGAGTTTTTTGTATGCACTGTCGGCAAAATTTACGTTTCTTTGCTGGCTGAGTATTCATTCAATGTAAGTAGCTCATATTTTTGTTTAAGAATCATATTTTGTCGAGGTTATCACCAAGCAGCCGTGTACGTCTTTCTTCCAAAATTCTGCCTGACACAGAAAAAGCTCTTTCAATAATTGCTGAGCTAGCTGGTTTTTATAAAATTTGCCAAGAAGTGAAAAATCTTAAGCTTTCTCCCAAAATTTTAAACCATCGTCACAACTTTTGTTTTCTGATTGTTTCAAATAAATCTGTATTTCCGCATTAATGTCTTCAAAACCCGTTTCTGCAGATTCATCGTTTGTACCTTTGAATTCGTCAGAACTTTATAAAGCAAATAAGTTAAACAGTACTAGTTTACGATTTTATTTCGGCTGAAAATACACATATGTATATGTATACTAGGGATGTTGCGATTCGCATCCGCTGATGTCTAGCAGCTAACATCCGCGGATGCGGATGCTTATTTTATTTAGTAATTGAACTTAAAAATTGGAACATTACCTATATTTAATAAAAAGTAATGAGAATTGCATCGGGGCTGAAAATGTCGGATGTATCCTCCTGACTTTCATCTTCACATGAAGAATTTATCATAATGGCGAGATCGTTGTTTTAACAGCGCTTACAAGCCAAACCATATGTGTCAGTTTTTTCTAAAGCTTTTTAAAAACAATTCTTTATTCTCATGCCTTTGGCCCTTTCAGAATTTGAATAAAAGGAATTCATTCTCATTCCTTTGGCTGTTTCAGAATTTGTGGAATCTGTAACTTCATCAGCGTTTTTCGATTTTAGTTTTTGTAATTCATTTTTGATACTGGTTTGAAAAATTTGTGCTTATAGCGAGCTAAATATGTGGATATGGAAAATAAATTATTATTTTCCAGGAATGAAAATTTTTAACAAAATTCTGTTTTCAAAGTCGAGGCTGCCAGCCGAATCCGATCAGAATATTGTTATTTTTTAAAAAAGCATCCCGTTTTTAATAAGCATTTGAATTATTGGAATCACGAATGATGAGGGTCTCACACAGTTACGTAATTCTTACCTAATTAAAGATCAGACCTATAGGTTTTTAATTATTTGAGCATCGATTCTGTTTATAGCCAGACGTTGATCATTTCTGCTGGAAATAAAAATAAATTCCCCGAAGAGCCCCATTTGAAATGATTAAGACTTTCTTCATAATGTCTAGTAGTTTTTTTTCAAGGTTGGTCCAAAAAAATCATAATAAAGAAAGGATCCGGTGCAGGTATTTAAAGAAGAGAAAACAATAAGATATATGTTATTAAAATTACTCTGTTCTCTTTGACGTACACCTAGCTCGGTTATATAGCTTAAGAAATAATCAGCCTCATTGCATAAGTCGTAAATTAGGCTAAGTTGTACGACTCAACAACATTGGCATTGTCTACTGTCATGCTGAAATAAGTAAACGAAGAAAATCGGCGAAAACTATACAGTACTACCAAGTTTTTCCGTTTAAATACACTAGTCGAGTGGAAATTTTAGGCAATGGCGTGAAATTTTCGATACGATTCGACTCTCGAAAAACGACTTGTATTCGTCATGACTCTCGCAATTAGGGTGAATATGTTTAAAGACAATTTTATCAAAGTTGATAAATATTACATTTGACTAGTTTTTTTACACAAATACTCCCACGACCACAGGCAAAATATATTGGCTACAATTTGTCATTTTGTTTGCCAGATATACGTTTTATCGGTGCACTTGCACAACATTCGCATTCGCAAAAGCTCCGCATTGATTATTGCGAATGCGAAAGCGAATGTGAATGTTTAAATTAATGCGGAAGCTCCGCAGTTGCGAATGCGAAAAGTGTTCTAAAAACCATTGCACTACTCAGAGTGATCGTCGTGAGGCACAAAAGCAGGCTTTTAACATTCTAATCTGTAAAGGATATAAATTTTAACTGTTTCTGAAACTAACATTAGTTATAATGTAATGCAATACGTTAATATAAACTATGTATGTATATGTATATTTGCTTTACGAAATTCTGTATTAAAAAATCGGAAAACCTATGGATAAATAAAATAAGTATATTGCCAAAAATATGGTTTTCCGATTTTTCAATAGAGAATTTTGCAATACAGAATATTAAAATACAGAGTTACAGAATTTTAAAACCATAATAATTTCCTACCAAACGATTCTCGAGACTATTTCGGGATTCGATAGTTTACCGATATAATATTTAGTATAATATTTAATGGATATTGTTTAGCTGAGAGAGAGCGGGAGACCAGGATTAGAGTTTTGATCGAGTTAGAGGAGTAGAGGAGATAGGATAATCTTTGGTGCGAGCGTTTATATATCGAACTCAATGAGCCCATGTGGTTGATAGGTGCACATCAAGGCAACCATGCACTCCATACAGTGATCGGGCTTTAAAAATATTCTGTGTGGTAGAATCTGTAAAAAAATGTGGTAGATCTCGGGGTTTGGACCAAACTTTGTACAAAAATTAAAAAAAATCTGCAAGATTTCACCTAAATTGCAAACTTTTAAATTAGAGTCTAAATTTTATTTTAGTATAATAAAGTACAAGATTTTTCCTTGACAGTGTAAAGCAGTTCCTTCCATATCAAGATATTTTTCGAACATATTTTAAGAGATTTCTGCAACCTTGCGGAGTGATGCCAGCTTTTCTTTTTATCACATCACGAAGTAGCGAACAAATGTGGCACGTTCCAGAAACAGCTAATTGGGATTTGCCGATTTTGAAAATTCTCAAGTAAACTTAAACCGCCTCGGAAACTTTAGATGCACTTAAATTTGCTGATACTTTCAAATCAAAAATCGCCGTTTTTAACATTTTAACCACAATGTGGTAGAAGTCCGATCACTGACTCCATATGCCTGCTATGCGAGAGAGAGAGAGAGAGAGATATGCGGGCAGTCTGATGAAGCGGTAGCGTAAGATGTGACTCTTTTACCATGTATCAATTGGGGGACTCCATTGGAGGAGTCTTGCTCTAGCTGCCGTAAGCTGTTGTGCAATGAGCTGGGATTTATTCAGGAATGCATTCATGCAGAGCCTCTGTGTGGCTTGCAAGCCGTACCAAAAATTACTCCAGGGGTGGAGAGTAGGTGATGCCGTGTGATAGCCAAGCTCGGTTAGCATTGACCATCGCTGAAAATGCCATCATTAACATTGCCTTTTTGATCCCTCCTAGGAACGGACATTGATTCAGTTCCATGGAAATTGGATGCCAGAAAAATTGCCTTCTTATCCATCCACTTGTAGAAACTTATACCACTAGAAGACAGCCTGAAATCGGTATGTCCTAGTCTTCATCCTTGC